CCGCAGTGAGAAACGTCGACGGCGATCGAAAGCTGAAAATGTCATCTATATTTTGAGCACAAAAAGCATCTTAATCGACGTTTGTACGACGGCTAATTCGATTATATTTCAAAGACTTATCATTGGATCAGAAAATCGTAAACGTCTTTGGCAATTTAATTCACTACTACTTCTTGTTTTTTAACACTGAATACTCAAAGCATGCATATTTGAGTTTACAAAAGAAACCATGCTGCAATGCACTGTTCATAGCAAACGGGAGCCAAAAGTCACCTGGGTCACGCATCAGGCCTCGTTCGAGAATTTTTTTTACCAGTTTACATGAAAGTTGATGCAATTGCAACTAATGTGGAACCCGGCGTGGTCACGCCTAAAGAAATCTTTGCTGATTCCCATTCAAATCCAAGTTCTGAGAGACACACACACACAGGAAACGCAAGTATGTAAATGTCGCACTCTTGTAGGTGTATGCATAATTCACACGTTTACCCCCTTAAGTGTACGAATAGTTATTAACACACCTACAAGTGCGCGACATGCGTCATTCACACACTTGCTTTCCCAGTGCAACCCTCTCCCTCCTCCGCCACCTCGTCTTCGCTCTTACCCCCACTCGTGTTGTGTTCCTCTGCGGCCGAGGGGCCCCGTATGTCGCCCAAACCCTCTGCCGTGCCTCGCCGCGCCAGGCGCAGCCACTCACGTGCACAAGGATGCGCTGCAGACACCTGTTGCACAACAAACATGTATGCGGTTTGAGCGTGCCGTGGCGGCCGGCTTTGCGCCCCGCTCCGCTGTCAAGTGATGGGGTGGGCGCGGGCCCGTGGCGCGGCGCTGCGTGGGGCAGCGCGGTGCAGCGGCTGTTGCTGATCACGGGGATAGGTACGGCCCGGGCCTCGGCCTGGGCCGGATACGGTGCACTTGAGCGAGTGCGGCGGCGCACGAGGGTTGCGGCGCGGCGGTGGCGCGGAGATGCCGCGCGCCGGTCGGTGATGTCTGGCTGCGCGTCCACAGAGGGGAGGCAATGAACCGTGCAGCGGCGATTTGGCTTTTAATGGACGGGGTTGAGGTAGGACGGCAGTGGACGCGGGAGGGTGCGCGGCGGCACGAGTGGTGATTGAATCATTAAGTGAGCAGGAGGGACAGGGCGGGGCGGGGTGGGGCAAGGTCGCCTTCATTTTTCGGGTGACAAAACTGGATTGCCTATAACCTTTTACCGGGGCGGTGGTGGTAAAATAACACTGTTCATTTTGATTTTGTTACAAGCCATATGCAGTAAACGTTGTCCTAATTAGTGACACATAGGCAGTATTGTCAATGGAAAGTTGCTTGAAATTAAAACCTTGTTTTCCCAGTGCATGAGGAATTTTATTGACATTCAAAACTTTTCGCTCTGCGCACCAGAACTAAATGTCACTTTGAGAAGGTAACCCGCAGCAGTCTTTAGGCTGCTTTGGAATTGTTTTCCTTTTTCTATTATTTGAGTGAGAGCTATTTCTCACAGATCGGTGCTGAGCTACTCTCACACTGTAAAAAACTATCGTGACTTTACGAAATTTTCTCGGTTAATTTTCTATTACGAAAACTTCGTTTTTAATAAATTACGATACATCGTTATTTTACGAATTCCTTTTTCAAATCCAAAGCTCTAAATAAAAGGCGAGATAAAAGGCATAAAATTTGTATATATTTTGACAAAATTTATAACTTATATGACCCAAAAATTTTTAATCGTTACGAAATATGTTTGCAATTTTACGAAATGTTTCGTAAATTGACACGTACGAAATATTTTCGTAAAATATTATTTACGAAGCATTTCGTAACATTTTTTCCCGTAAAATCACGAAAACGTTTTACAGTGGTAGATACCTTGTCGGAGTTTTCGGTCCTTGCTATAAACAATAGTGTTGTGAAGTGGTACGCAGGGTTGGCATAGAGTATTAAATTAAAACTAAATTGAGGCAAAATTCGGTCAAATAATACAGGGTGGGTGAGCCGTGCCGTCTCTTTTTCTGCTTATACTGTACCGGATTCAGGCGTGCGGGCGTGCTTGCCTATCGTCGCTCGCCATTGCGCCTTACGGCCCCGTGCGAGTGTGCAACCCGTCCGCACGCACGAATCCGGTACAGTATAAGCAGAAAGAAAAGACCGCGAAAAGACAGCCATCCTGTATTGCACTTCACGTCACCACGGCGCTCCCTGCGCGTCCACTGTTAAAAATTCCGTAGGCTAATTACGGAATTCTTACGGAACTCACCGTAAATTCCAAATACGGTACTAAACCGTAACGGGATGACTGTATTTTAAAGATACGGACTTGTCCGTATTTCAAATAACGGTGCATCCCGTACATTTTCCCCGTCAATTAAATATTAAATAATTTTTGAAACAAATAGTTTAAACAATTGAGCTGTCCATAGAGATTTATGTTATTGCCTCTTTCGCAAAACCATAACTTTACGCTCTCGTACCTCTCAAACTCAAATTCTTCCACTTACAGTGCAATTTATTATTTTTCGTAAGCAATAAGTCAAAATTTTACGGAAAAGCATACGGTTTATCCGTAACTTAAGAATACGGTTTTTCCGTATGGTTTCCGTAGAAAATACGGAAAAATTACGGTACATTCCGTGAAAAAAAATTCTTGACAATGCCGTTCAAAATTCCGTGAAAATTTCTAACAGTGTCAGTCAGCGTCCAACCTAGCTTACGCTCTAGACGCCGCCGTGTGCCAATTTTGTAGTCGTTTTTTGTAGTCGATAAGCGTAGGCGTCCCCAGCAGCATTAAGTTCTACCCATTTTCACCCCATTTAGCTCCATTTAATTCTCTATGCCAACCCTGGTGGTACGGTACACCACCCGATGTGTACCTTTTGACACTTGGTATGCCTTTATCTGTACTATTACTAAGACCATAGTGGGCCAACTGTGCAGACTTTGCACACCTTCCAAACGTTGAAACTTTGCTTCATGTTTAAACACCACAAGAAGTAGTGTGCTCAGTGGAAAGCACACTTAAAGTGTGGAAAAGTGCCCACTTTGTTTTACCGGTGACAAGTCGTGACAACCACGGTAAAATATGATGTGTTATATGAGTATTTTTTTTTTCTGAGTCCACTTCTTGTTGCCTTAACATCGCATTAACTTCCTAGGCCATCGATTCTGCCTGCACATTGGGTTAGCACGAAATTTTATTTGTAG